GAAGGGGCGGAGGCGGGACGGATGTGCCACCCGCGTGTTTGCAGCTACCAACGCCCCGGGTTTCGTGCGCGCACTTGGCGGCCGGCGAAGCTACTGGGCGAACGGGAGGAGCAGCCGCGGGGCAGGGTCCCGCATGTGTAAAAACCCCCCACAAACGAGAGAGCCTCAAGAGGGGGGCGCGGACGCGCGCGCGCGCGCGCACACACACACACGCACACACGACAGAGCCGGCAACAGAAGGCGCCGCACGTATCCAGCCCAAGACCGGGTGGGATCAGGGCGCGGGCCGCTTCACACGCGGCCCTCCGCGGAACGGTATTCCCGAGCATGTTATCATTCTGCGGGGAGGAACAGACTCATGTGACTTTCTCGGGCCCGTCATTCGTTGGGACTCCATTCTCGTCTGGGTGTCAAGCCACCTGGGGTGGGGGCCTCGAGGGGTGCGAGATGGGCATGCTTTTGTGTGTCTGCTTCCCTAACTTGGGCAGATCCCGGAAAAACAGCGTGTTTTTTATTCGCAGCCTCATTTCGGCCGTCTGGTTGTTGTGCCCCCGGGGTGGTGTCTCCTGGTCGAGCCCGCCGGCCAGGCATGCGCGAAGATCATACTCTGGAGCGTCCTGCCCTGCTGGGGGCGAGGGGGCAGGCACACAGGGATGAGCCTCAGCCATTGAGATCTGCGCGATCGGCCGTCCGCGTCCGGTTCCTCGGCCACGGGTGAGACCGGGAACTCCACGCACAGGGCGGGAGAGGGCAGGCGCCACCAATCGATACATCGCCGTTGCCTCCTGCCATCATCCTACTGGGGGCCGACAGGTGGCCCGCAGCAATACGTGGTTTTTTCGGCCGGCCCCTGGCCAATGCCCCCTCCCGGTCCAGGGCATCCCCCTCCCCTGCTGGGCTGGACTGCTCCTCACCACCCGCCCTCCGTTCTTTTCTCCCTGCTCCGGCTGCGCACTCTCCCTCCCCCCCCCCTTCTTTCTTTCCCTCCCCTTCTCTCCTCAATCCGCCATGAGACCGCGACACCTTTCCAATCTGCGGATCCCGTATCATGTCAAAATGCATCTGGTTCGCCGACATGCGCTCCTCATGTCGAGCAGCTTCCCACCACGGGCCTTTTCCCGGCGCATCCTAGACCTGGCATCGGGGGATGAGCAGGTCGCCGCGGCGTCCAAAAAACACCCGACTCCCTTTGTCTCGGATGACATTTTCCCGCGCCATGTGCGCCTCCTCGGCCAGACTGCCGAAGGCCGGCGGTCTCGCTTTGGTTCGCGCTGGGTTGGCATGGATCGACCTCCCACCGAGCCCTCGCCTACCCCCTCCCTTGCCCGGGCTCTGCCCGAAGAGGAATCCATGACCCCTGCCGAGCGGGCGCACGAGCGGTCTCGCAACCGGTCCGAACTCCTCTCGCTTTACCGGTCCATCCAGCGTGTTGGCCGGCATATTGCCCCGACGGATCCGTATCTGAGGTTAGCGTGTGGTTCTTGATGCTTCGGTTTCCTGCTTTCATCATTCCTCCATTGCACTTGGGCGCCAATGGCCACAAACTCACAACCATCTTGCATCGGCTGGTGCATGTACACACACACACACACACACACACACACACAAATGGCTATATATATATATATATATATATACGTAGCTCTTTCATCCAGGCTGAGGCCCGTCGCCAATTTGAGGCCCGAGTGACCTTTCGACCAGATATCATGCGGAAAATTCCCCCGGCCATCGTGGCCGCATACGAAGCCTCACTGGACCACCAGCGGAATTCCCTGATTCATGCACGAGCGCAGCTCGCCTCCCTCTTTGAGGCACTGTCCCTCAAAAAGGTGCATGCCCTGGACAATCTGTTGGCCATGGCCTTTGGACGCGTTGGCACACTGAAGGAGAAGTTTTGCCTGGTATGATGTGGCCTTCTACCCTCGCTGTCATCTGCCCCCGACTGCCGGAACGCCGTCTAACCATCGCCAAATTGGACTGGGCCTCGCGCGTCAGGACGTCTGCTCGCTCCCCCTGCTTGAGGACCTTGAGTTCAGCTACTTCCCCGAGGTATCCGGCCTCGCCATCAAGTCCACCAATCAGGAGGAGTTCCCCTTGCCAACCCCCTGCTTGAGATACATCGAGCGGCAATAGTGCGTCTGACGGTCCACACGCCGGGCATGGGGAGGTGGCTTCACACATGCACACGCGCCCGCGCCCACATCCACTCCCACACGGTGGCCATGTCTCCTGCGGTTGTATCGCATTTTTGACCCTCTCACCTTGCACCTTCCTCCATCACGCCCATGCTGATCTCCGACCATCGGCTCCTTCAGTGCCTCCCTCAAAGAAGGCCCATATCATGCCCTGTCCCGGGCATACTGCCGGCTGATGAACCGCATCCCGGTGCTCATGAGCTTGGAGATCCCATCGTCCCTGCCACGGGGCGACCTGCCGACAAAGCTGGCCGACGCCACGCACGCCATTGGGTATGGGCATTTTAGCAGTCTGCCCAGCTCGTCTGGACAGGCTGACCTGATGGCGCTGTCCGGCACCGAGCGTCCTCGTCCGCTTGGCGGCAGTGGGTATATGCATGTGGGCATGGACATCGCCAGTCTCCTTGGTGAATCGTTGAACCAGCGCAGCCGTGTTCCTCGCTTTCTGACGTCCGACCACCAGGCCCATGCGCTGGCGATGATCCGCCAAGCTGAGGGCCCCGGCCCGACGCATGCCCTCGATGGCCGGCCGCTGCTCCTGTCACTGAACGAGCCCCCCCCCTCGGCAGCCAATGACGTGGCCTTCATCTCGGACATCATTGCGTACCTTCGGATGACCCCGGCCGCGGTGGAGATCAACCCAGCCGTGACCAACATCATCTACGGCTATGATGACCGGAAGCACCGGACCGAGATTCGTCGCCTGCGCAAGCTCTATCCCATCGAGCACACGTCCTTCTTCCGGGGGTTTGAGCCGGTGGCTCGGTTTTGTAGCTTCTCTCTGTTTGATGCGCCGACGCTGCCTCCCCACTCGGCCCCGGCTGACACCCAGCCCTCCATTCGCACCATCCCCGGTGGTGAGTGAGATGGATCCCCTCGCCTCCGGCTGTTTCCCTCCTCTCCAAATATAGACCAGCCTCCGCCGTGGGGCCTCTCCCTCCTTCGCCCGGTGTGCTCCTTCTCTTTTTCCTTCGATGCAACTATACAAGGGCGAGCTGGTATTCCAGGGACACACACACAGAGACATATGTGTGTGTGTCCCTCCTTTTGCCCGGTCTCCTCCGCTCCATGGGGTACAGCGGGGAGAAAGGGATGGGAGGGGGGGGGGGAGGAGGGGGGAGAGCGAGAGGGGCCTTCCTCTGCGATCATCAGTAGGGGTTGGAGAGCTTGTAGCGCCAAGTACGAATGTCCATCGGGCGCATCAACACACTGAGGGGGTTCTGCGCAACATGCACGCTGCCGGAATCGTCGGCCCACTGTGGCCGGACATAATGATCGGCCGTGTTGATGCCACACAGATCGAGCTCCTCGCTCAGGGAGTAGCCGAAGTCCAGGACCTGGGTGGCATCGATCTGTGTATGTATGGATGTAAGGATGTATGGATGTATGGTTATGGATGTGTGTGTGTGTGTGTGTGTGTGTGGGTGCACGCATATCGATGTGCGTGTCGACGTGCGCGTCGAGGCGTATGTGCCAGTGTTTTCCGAAGAAGAGAAGGGGTGAGGGCAGCGTGATTAGCCCCGGTCCTGGCGTGTGTGCCATGCGAGAGGCAGGCAAAGTAGAAGCAAAAAAGAGGCGAAGGGACGGGGGAATGTGGGGCACCAGCTCTCAAACGCACCACCTCCTCTGGGAGACCAGCATCCACCTCGAAGATGTTCTGCAAGCGCAGAAGCCCGGTGCGCCAGTGCGCCGATGCGTCCGCCTTGACGGTGAGCAGGTGCACACTGTCCGGCAGGGGGGCCTGGAGCATGGAGAACACCGGGGTGTCAACCTCCCAGACGGTGGCATTGGCCGCGGCCGGGCCGCACGCAGCCAACAGTGGGGGGAACATGTTGATGATGTTCAGCTGCGCGCGGGTCCGATCCATGGAGACATTGCCGGTCCGGTGCATGGTCAGCCGCGACCGGATGACCGACCGATCATTCAGGGCCTCGGCCACACCACGGCCATCGTCACGCGAGCACCGCCGGTGGAGCATGAACTCCGCGGCACCGGGCCCAAGCGAGGCGCCGGCCACCGCGCGGTCAGTCAGGAAGGCCACCGAGGTGCCATCCGCCTCCGACCGGAGGACCGCCTGCGACACGATCGGGTAGAAGTGCTTCTGGGGGGCGGAGCTATGGGCATGAAGGCGAGGGCAGGTTGCATGAGTACCGGCTGGGGGCGGAGGTGTGTGTGTGTGTGGGGGGGGGGGGAGGGGGGGGGGCAAGGCCAAAGGGAAAAGGCGAGGGAGGTGGCCAGACAGAAGCCGCAAGACGGGACAGCGCAGGCAACGATCCCACGAAAAAAGCAGGGACATATGGTCTGCGGTCGGACGCATGGGCAGGTGCATGGAGGAACATACCCGTCGTATGGCCGGCGAGCATGCATCTCCAGGGCATTGTTGTCCGAGATGAACACCGTGTCGGCCAGATCGGTGGCGATGTGCACGACCACCTCCGTGTTGTAGGGGATCTCACCAAGGCGCGAGTCCACATGAACCTGGGCCTGATCGGCGACCGAGCCGACATGGTGCAGGCGCAGGGCGAGGACATGCTCGCGGTTGTGGAAGGCCCGAACCTCGGAGAAGACCGGGCCCTCGACGAGGGTAACCTCGGTATACCGGTCCAGCGGGAGGTGAATATCCTCCATGGGCCGGAAGATGTAGGCGCCCTGTGTGTTCGTGTGGGCATATGCAATGCACGCATGCACATGTGTGTTGCCATGGGTCAGTGAAGGGGAAAAGGGGCGAGAGGGCCCCAAAGTGGAGGGGCGACAGGGCGATGGCCACGGTCACGCACGGAATTCTGCTGCTGGGTGGAGACACTCCGGTAGAAGCGCAGCTCGGCGGCGAACTTGCTCACGGTCTGGCCAGCGGTCCCAAGGAGATCCGTCTGGACGATGGCCAGATTGCGCTGGCCCGGGGTCACGGCCAGGCTGATGGCCTCGTTGCGCAAAGTGAGCGGGGTATCGGCATTCAGGACGCTGCGCGGCTCGGACACCTGGTCCAGGGGGCTAGGGGGTGCGAGATGCCAGGGGGGTCAGCGGCGTGTGCACACGAAATGCATGACGGTGTCCATGGGGGCAGAGGGATGCGGGGGGGGGGGGGGGGGAAAGAAAGAAGGACGCCAGCACGTACGCAATCTCCACAAAGTACACCCGGTAGCCGGCGGCCGGCAGGCGCGCCTCGAAGGCCAGCTCGTACGGCAGACGCCCAAGGGATGGCTCGTCGAAGAGGGCCGGGATGACCTGGCTCGGGACCAGAGCCCCATCAGCATCACGCACCACGACATCCGACCGATCGAGGGGGAGGGTGTGCACCGTGTGCCGGGGCCAGGCCAGGCTATTGGCGATGACCACAGGCACCACTCCGCCCGGGGCCAAGCGGTCCAGGCGCCCGGCCAGATCCAAATCCATGAGCTGGGCAGGGGTGGCATCGCCGCCCAGCAGGACGGCCAGCGTGTTGGCGAACACCCGGCGGGTGGAGGGCTCGGCCTCGGCGAAGGCCTGCACATAGTCCTCCATGACGTAGGCCTTGGAGGTGCCGGTCACGGCATCGTGGTGCTGGGCCACAGCATGGGCCTGGCGCAGGGGAGACACATGGGTCGAGGGGACCTGGTGCTGGAAGCGGGCCGGGCCGACCTGGGCCGCGGCCGCCTGCGACAGCATATCCACGGCGCGCATCTCGCCCTCGGTGGTCCGGACCAGGCGCTTGAACTGCGGGTACGAGGTGAAGTACCCGGTCCACCAGGAGAGCTCATTATCGGCATAGGGATAGAAGTCCCCGGTGAAGAGGGGCCAAGTGACGGCCGTCTCGCGGGCCAGCGCCTCAAAGTAGTCCGACAGGGTGGAGTAGCGGATCCGCACGCCGAGCTGCTCGCTGAGGTGCACACCCGACGGCGGGGGGAGATGCGAAGGGGGGAGGGGCGAGTCAGGGATGGATCATTTTTTTTCCCCCTCCCGGAGGCATGGAGCCAGGCACAGGCGAAAGGTGGCCGACCCACAGTGAGGGTGGTCGTACGAGTTGGCATTGATGTAGTCAATCAACAAGTCCCAGCTGTCAAACTGGGCGTGGGCATTCTGGTAGCGGAAGTCATCGCCAGCCGGGATGAGGAGGTGCTGGGTGCGATAGCCGGCAGCGCGGCGGGCAAATTCCCGGACCAGGGTGCTTTTTGGTGGTGGTGGTGGTGGTGGTGGTGTGAGCAGCTGGCGGGCGGGGAGGGGGAGGGGGGGGGGGAGGAGGGAGCAGCAGGGGTGCCAGGGGCCTGGAGGGGGCGTACTTGGCCTTGGAGGCGACATTGTGCGGCGTGATGGGCTGGTCGCGCTCGAAGTCGAAGCCAGACGGCGAGGAGTAGTGGTCACTCAGGACGTGAGTGAAGAGCTCGACCTCGGCGCCGAGGGACTTGGATCCGCTGTGTTGGCCAAGCACCGGCGGGGGGCGGATGGGGGAGACCGTGAGTGGAGGAGTGGATGTTTTGGGCCTTGCTTTTTTCTTTTTGCCCATCAACGGGTCTCACAGCACGAGGGGGAGAGACCCGGGCATTCTCACGAGGAGGAGAGGGGAAACATACCGCCAGACGAACTCCATGTGCTGGGTGGCCTTGAAGAGGTCCTTGTCGGAGTAGGTGATGCGATTGATGACGCCGCCCTTGAAGCCCATCTTGGCAAAGAGGGTCGGGTAGACGGCCGACAGGCCGAAGGGGTCTGTGTGCAGTGCCAAAAGGAATGACGTGTGAGCAGCCACAGGCGGGCCGTGCTTGGGGAGCACCCCGGAGGAGGGAGGGGGGGGGGGCGCACCGATGTTCCAGCTGGTGACGGGCACCACGCCCAGGGTCTCGTAGAGCCACTGCAGGCCCTCGGTCATCTGGTCGATGTTGGCCGAGTAGGTGGGGTTGGCATTGTCGCTCATGACCCACCCAGCCAGGATGAACTCCATC